TTGTCTTTATTCAAAAGACATCATCAGTCAAATGTGACAGAACGATAGTTGATTCAAAATAAAAGATAAAAAGAAATACAAGTGTGTAGAACAAAAAGAACTTCGAAGAAAGTGTGTTCTACACACTACACACTTGTATTTCTTTTTATCTTTTATTTTGAATCAACTATCGTTCTGTCACATTTGACTGATGATGTCTTTTGAATAAAGACAAAACGTGTAATAGAAAATAGTCTATTTTCATGGTTATTAAGGTGGTTTATCTCTTATTATTTATATTTAAATTCTTCACCTTAAAAAATCACTCAGTTTCTTAAGTACTTTGAATCCCTAGTAACAAAATTCTGTTATAAAATAATTATTAAGTGCGTAAATTTGTAATATTAGATTTTAGGTTCAAATGCGTAAATTCTAAGATACATGATTTGTTTTATTAAGTCAAATGTTTTTAAAAATATATTAAATAGACAATGTCAAGGTCTGACCTATTTTTTCATTTAAACCAGCTTGATTTTTTCTATCACGATGTTATTCATTATTCGATATAAGGAAAAAACACGTTGTGTTTCTGTGTAGGAGACATGCGTCGATTAGAAAAAAGACATGTCAGATCATATAGAGAGTTTGTGTAAGGAAAAGAATAGTGGCCATACACGTCGTTTATTCTGAGATCACGATACGCATAATAAAAATTACAGTTTTCATTGACAACAATAAGCAGAGAGACAAGAAAAGAGCGTGTTGGTTTTTATGCTTAGGCCATTTTTAAAAAAGTTTTAGTATGAGGTGAGTTTTCTATTTTAATATGTCGTGTACATACATAAACGTTCGAGTACTTTAATTTCGGAACATTTGAACAAATATTATCCTAACTAATACCGAAAACAACCTTTTTAAATTAATTGCGTGTAAAAATTTTTGTTCCAATGTACACACATAGTCTAATACTAGCGATCTCGGAGAAAATTATTTTTATTTCATTAAGTCAAATTATATTTATCTATTCCGAATTTAGACACATTCTGCGATTTCGATTAGAGGATAAGAAGAGGTAAATTCCCCGGATTTGAACATATTACTCATTAAAATCTTTAAAGCAGTATCAGTATATTTGTTGGTCTGAATAATGCCAAAATAACTGTTTATTTTACGTTAAGTTAAACGATAGCACTGTGGAACTGGCATTTCAGTAAATGTATCTCTGTGCAATATTAGAATTTGGAGGAGGTGTGTCTTTGCCTATGGGGGTATGTCACAACAATCAGTTGAATGCTGTTTACATATTAACGAGATGGGTATCTTTTCTTGACAATTTGACAATAAAAACATAGTTACTCACGAAAAAACATTTTTTTTACTCAGGAGGGAACGTTTTTAAGTGTTCCCTCGCCTTTTCAACGAAACCTAGTGGGTTATGGGTTATCGATGATGCTGATTCCGAATATGAATATGAGAACTGCTCTTAGGGCTTCGAAGATCCTGGAAAACCAGCTTTTTAGAAACTCTGATAAACAACCAAGCTTTTCTTAGTGAGCCATACTCGTAGCCTGCACATTTCTGATTAAAATGAGACCTCTACCAACTCTACATGACCTTTCTTTGCAAAGTTATAGAATTTGCAAGAAAAGCCCTAAATTAATTTCTTATTTCTGTAGCTTTGAGTTGACAATGAATATTTAGGGCTTTCCTTGTAAATTCTATAACTTTGCAAAGAAAGGTCATGTAGAGCTGGCAGAGGTCTCATTTTAATCGGAAATGTGCGGGCTACAAGCATGACTCATTAAGAAAAGTTTTGGTTATTCTGTTAGAGTTTCTGAAACACTGGTTTTCCAGAAAATCGGATCTTCGAAGCCCTAAGAGCAGTTCTCATATTCATATTCGGAATCAGCATCATCGATAACCTATATCCCACTAGGTTTCGTTGAAAAAGCGAGGGGGCACTTAAAAACGTTCCCTCATCAGTAAGAGTAACCTCTCCTCCCCCTGTCTTCTTCTAAAACGTGTATGAGTTTGTGGATGAGTCTCCCACATTTGTGACCAAGAGATTCTGATCTGACCAGTTTGTAGAGCTTATCAAGTTATCTATATGTACAAAAGTTTCGGGCTATCGAACGAACGAGTTTTAATGGAGTTAAAAGATTGGATATTTATCAGAGTCTCTTGGTTTACAAATGCGTGATGGACCTTCAGAGATCAGACTTTTAGAGACTCATCCACAAAGTCAATAAAAGCATAAACAGACGTCAAATTCATGATCAGCATCAAGAATAACTGTAGAAAAATTAGCGTTAATCAAAAAAGCTTTTAATCATGCATATACGCCCTCATTAGACGTCACTTATGTGCTATTCTGCCCCCACTGATGTCGTATTATGTTGTTTACTTTATTCATTTCACAAATACGAAAACAATCTAAACACGTGAAAATATAGTTTTTTCTAGTATATTCTTGTTTCTGTAATATTTTTACCTTTTTCCTTTTTCTCATGCGATCAAATATATTCGTAATTTTAGTGTACGCTGGTTTTTGACGGTCATTATAAAATCCACTTAGACAATTTCTCGCTACAAGCAATTTTTTTGCTGATTCTATTTGTTGTATTGCGTATGTGCGTGTGTATGTGTTTTTCCAAGAAAATAGTCTATATAAGAAAGAATCTAGGATTTACTCTGACATCGTTTTTTGTTCGTTCTTTGAAGGAGGTGTGTTTCTTCTTATGGGGGTATGCCCTATCAGTTCGATGATGAAACAGTCATAGAATATTATAGAAGATTGTTTAAAAAAAATGAAACGATATTTCTCATTTTCTGGAGAATTGAAAGAAAACGTTTGTTCGTCATGATGACATAGCAGAATCAAAAGAAAATGATTATATTCTACAGTTCTGTAAGCTATGAGTTTCTTCAACAACGGAGTAGACGTTGATGTCGATAAAAAAAAAATGCAGAGAGAAAAGAGCAAGAAGAGAACGAAAATTTTTTTTCTTTGTGTAATTATATAAGTAGCAACGATTCTTTTTGATAGAAGTAGATTACAAACATATTTTTCCAGACTTTTCACAGCATTATTTTGCTTGACAACATTTTATTACTTGATCTTACGCACACATTCACAGTTAAACACACACATAGATAAATACTGATTTGTATTCAAATACTATTTTTATTCAGTGAACTTTAAACTGATTTATTTATATTTGCTCGTTTGTTCATTGAGAAAATATTAAAGGAAAACACACTTATCTGGTATGTACCAATTTAGAATCAGCTTCAGTACTGTTCATTACCGTTTTCTTCTATAACACTAATTCTTTCACTGTATTAAGGGCACTTACTCAGAAAAATCCTTTTTTGTCTTACATTTTGTTCAAACTTTCAGCAAATGTTTGCCATATCAAAGTGTAGCTATGAAATGTTTTTTTATGCCTTGTTATCTCTTACCTTTCCAGGATTTTCCAGAGTCTAAGGTCAAAAACCCATCCTCTACTGTGGAACACTTTTTTTAAATATAATTTAAGCTAGAGATCTCCAGTTGGTAGTATATTAAACTAGACACGTAACTGCGTGGACTGATGGGATTCGATTTTTGAATTAGGCCTGAGTTTTCTAGAAAATCAAGGATCCTCCCGAAAGCGTTTTCGGATTTTTCAGGATCGTGGATCACTAGAAAACGAACGAAAATCTAAATGAAAAATATGATCCCATTGGTCCACGCAGTTACATGTCTAGTTTAAAATACAACCAACCCGAGATCTCTAGCTTGAAGTATACTTAAAAAAAGTGTTCCACGCTGGGTATGTTCGAACAAAAAACGTGTTTTGAGAGAAAACGCTGTGCATTAGTTGATCTATTTTAGGACATGTAGGAAAATCCTTGTAATTTTTTGAATGCAAGATCATACAGGGCTGTGCAACGTCTTATTTTGATCAGAAAAGTCTGCTCTACAAATATACGTATTTAGAAAAAAATTTACTTGCGTAAGTGTCAAGAAAAAATTATCATTTGTAAACTTTGATTTTCAAGGCTTCTAGAAAACGTCGTCGAAAACCACGAAAAATCAGTTCTAGGCCCGAAAGCGATACTGATCTGAAAGTAGACACTTCAGGTTATCTTTCTATGTGCTTGTCTCCAAATTGATTTTTTTGATACAAAATCATCATTTCTTAAGGGAGGGATCCTTAAAATGGCATGAATACACAACACCTCTTATGTATAATTTGTACGAAAACGACTGAAAACCTTGAGTGTTAGATCCATTAATCAGACATGTAATCTCAGTGTCAAAAATATAATTTTATGCCTCAGTCTCAACTGTAACCGTAAATTTGCAACAAGATCGTTACATTATTTCTTTTGCTACATATTCGACATTCAGAGTGTCAATACAATGATTAGAGAATCTAATATTCTTTTTGTCTATGTTATTTTAGACAATTTGTCTGTTTATAAAGAAAAACATATTACTGTAAAATTTAATTTTGAGTGTGATTGTCAAATCGTCGATAGTTTTATTTATTTATACCAAATCTGATTGTTACCATTATCTTACATTATTATGTCTGAAAAACTACGATCACCATCACAACCGATTAATTTTAATCGACAGTCAAATAATAATGGATTTGAGTTACCTTATTCACAATGTGAATCAGGCGTATTTAATTTTTATCGGTAAGTTATTTTGATATTGAGCTAATGTTTTCATGAATGAATACACTTTTCATACTATTTTAGAATTCATCAAGGTCGAAAAAGAATCGTGTTTAATGATGAATTAGATGGTAAGTGATATTTTAAATGATAATAATTATAAAAATATGAAAATTACAATTTATTTATTACAAAAATCTTATCATATCATTTCTGTTTAGCTTCAACACTTTCTGCACTAACACCAATGGTTGATAAAAGTTCTTCATCGACACCATGGTCACCATTTATTGATTGTATAATAAACTCTAAAAATAATAATGCACCAGATATCATAAATAGTATATCAAAAAATATGAAAAATATGTTAAACACATCAATCACAACTTCATCGTTACCCATATCAACATCGTCTGCATCTCTCGTTTCAAATTCCCTAATAGCAAACAAAACATCAACAAGTTCAATCACACCGAAATCCATACATACCGCATCATCATCAGGCACTCTCACAGATCTTGTAAGAAATGTAATAAATAAAGGTTTGTTTACTACTCGTATTACCAAAAATTTTTCTTTTATTAACTTCTTATCTCTAATTTAGATACATTTTCTATGATACTCGATCGTCAGACTAGACTATATTCAAGAAGTTTAACACAAAAAGAATTAAATCATTTGGTTCCTCAATCAATGTGAAATAGTCATATACATATAATTAAATTGAAAAGAAAAACAAAACAAATATCAAACAGAGATTAGAATTATCATAGTTCCATACATAGTTTCGTCGGTCATGTCTATTTCTCTCTTTATTTTTGCTAATTTTTATCCTTATTTTTGTACAATTTGTATATATAATGAAGTAAACATAAGTGTTACTTGTTTATTTTCTCCCGTTAGAAAGTATTTATGTCAGATATTTATAAATCTTTATTGCAAAGAAGAATGAGTGTAATCTTTCTCTACAAAAAAAAAATATTTTTCGCCGTTTAATTTAGCAGTGAACTCGCTAAACTTTTTCCTTTATTCTTTTCTTCTATGCATGTGCGTCTATTTTTCCAGTGTTTTATTTTAATCTAGTTAATGAATAAGATCATAGTCTGGAATACAATTTATGCACTTTTTTTTGTTGTGAATAATTATTTCACATTATTATAAAGAATAATATCGGTTACATGTCGAAGATTGGCTGCTACACTTGAATAAATGCAAAGGAAAGTCGATGATATGAAAGAAACAAGACAATCAATTACTCGTAAGAGAATAATCATTCATTACTTATCGAAAAATGCTTTTATAGTAGCTCTAAAGTACTCGGTTATAAATAGATCAAAAACTATATATCTATTTTGGTTTAATATAAAGCTGTACTTTTATTCTAATACACGCATAATCGCACGTCAAAGGTAAACATCTACTGTTGTCAACAGATCTGATGACAAGATCGCAAAATAATGTAAGATGTTCTGTTTTGGCAATAAAGACTAAAGTTGATAAAGCTCACTGTAATCTTGATCTAAATTTGATTTAAAAGTTTCTAAATTTTAAAGAAAGTGTACAAAAGATGAATACTAAAAAAGGTGTTGCTTTCCTTCTATCCTCTCGCAGCCTTGTTTAATATGCCTACTCAAACTTTCAGGAAACTTTATTCCAATCATTAGCTTCTTCACAAGTGCTTCATTCCAAATATGCTATCTATATTATAGAGAGTGTGGCTAAAATGAGACTGAACAATTAATTTTATGATCTGGAAGATGAGGATGTGTTTTCTAAACCTATTAGTAATCCTTTGAGTTTGTTTCAGAGTGTAGACACCTTCAGCTATCTAGAAACATTATGTCTGTTTCAGGAATAGAAGTTTTAGAATTGATAAGATAGTAACAGCAGCTGTTTTTAGATTCATCTTTATTTAATAGGGTACTGCTAAAAGACGCGAACACCCACGAACATCCCCAAATTAAAATCTGAGTTAACCAATCGATAGAGCTCGTTGAGCTGAGTATAGCAATCCCTAACGAACAGCCAAAAATCTTTTTATAGTCTCGCTTTTTAATTATACATTTTGAATGAACACTCACGAACACAAAGAAGAAAGGGTAAGAACACCCAAAAAAGTGCGCCAAATTCATCTCCAAGTTATTCTGGACTGAGGGTGTGGTGTGGGTGAGCCTACGACCACCTCACTCTAACAATCTAAACACGTGAAAATATAATTTTTTCTAGTATATTCTTGTTTCTGTAATATTTTTACCTTTTTCCTCTTTCTCATGCGACCAAACATATTCGTAATTTTAGTGTACGCTGGTTCTTGACGGTCATTATAAAATCCACTTAGACAATTTCTCGCTACAAGCAATTTTTTTGCTGGTTCTATTTGTTGTATTGCGTATGTGTGTGTGTATGTGTTTTTCCAAGACAATAGTCTATATAAGAAAGAATCTATGATTTACATCGTGTTAATCGTCTCTGTGTCTTGAAAATGAAAATTACAATTTTCGAAACGTCAACATTATTTTTATAACAGGTTTATTTTAAAATAAATTTATTTTTTTTAATTTTTATTAAATAAAGATGAATCTAAAAACAGCTGCTGTTACTATCTTATCAATTCAGCTATCTAATAGAGAAAAAAGATCCCAGTTTAGAGTTAGTATATCGGTGAAATAAGATTATTTTCTAAGCTCGCACAACCGTACATAAAGCTTCATGCTCAATGAAACTTTGCCAAAATGTGTGCCTGTGTACCCCACATATATAGGTTGGTCCAAAAGTCACCCGACAGTCTTTGGTTGCGATTTTTGGAACACTTCCGAGTGACCTAAAAATCTGGGTTTAGTCTCATTCGATACAGACTTAAATTCCCTACAAATCTGATATTTAAATCTCTGATAGCATTTTTCTCGTTTGAGCATATTTTGAATGATGCTGAGTTGTAGAACTGCGACGTGCTTTTGTCGTCTTCTTCTTTTGAGATTTTTCGCCGATTGTCTGAGGTTCAGTATTCAGTTTTTCTACGCGGATAGATAGAGAATTTTATACTCTATCGATTCTATTCGTTTACAACTCCATACAATGTTTCTGCTGCGTCAGCTGGACTCATAATTAGTTCTCAACCGACTTTTCAGTTTTCTCAAATTAACTTAAACTTTTTAACCTGTAACCGGTTCATTAGGATAGCCATCAGAGTTTCTGCGTGACATCTAGAGACAGAATAATATCCTCCTGGTAGCTAGGAGGGGACAAGTGGGAGACTGGCTACTAGTTTTATTATGAAAGATCTGAGAAATATTTTCTTTCGTATATTATTTTTCGTCTGTATTGACATTCTTCTTCACTTTATCGAGAATCCATCTTCTATTTATTGAATCTATCGAGATATTATTAATTATTATAATTCAAAAGATTGATCGACGAAACGCGTGCTATTTCCGCAAAAGATTAAGGTATTCATTACTTAGAATAAGACTAATTTATAAATCTTCCTGATGGAACAAATTAAACACCTTCGATGAAGATTGCAGTTTAAGATCGTTTTTTATTTTTTTAACTTGCTGTTCACTGTAATTGCGATATTTATTTCAATCGATACACTAATCTTTACACGCAATCTATTCCCCATTTACAGTAATTTTTTTTGTGAATAATTTTCTTTTTACTTCGTTCTGGTGATTAAAATGACTCATAATGCCCGCTACTCGATCCAAAACGGACCTAATTCATCAGTCAATCTACCAAGTCAGTCTTCTTACACCATCACAACTTTGCAAAACTAGTAAAACTTCTAACGGATTCGCAGCCACGGCAAAAGAAATAAACAATATTCATGAATCTATCCATTCTGTCTGTCCTATTCCAAACTTAACCATGTCAGCGAAGGAAACTGATAAAAACCAAGAAGAACAGCTGAATCCGATCAGCTCCGAAGACGAGACACGTTTAAAACAAGAAGAAGATGAGTGTCAAAAACCGGTCCAATCACAGTTACAAGCAGTAAAAAAGCTTCTTCAAAGAATTATAATACTTGATCATTCAAAATCCGAAGGAATCGTAGAATGGCCACAATCAGTCGAAAAAACTTTTGCACACCTCAAGCATCCACAACTTACGGAACAACTTTATGGATCGCCAGAGTTAAAGAACATCTCGATCAGCAGTTGTAGAATTGGTATCAGATAGAAAAAGATTCTATCAAACCAGATTGGGATCTATTCAGGTTTAACCTGCAGAATCGCTTTAAAACATCACCTTTTCGCCTTTCACCACCAATGCAGCTCACCACAACACAAACCTCTCCTAATTCGCACATGCAGACATTGAAAGAAAAACTTGAAGGTCAGTCCTCGAAACATAACCAACTAGCGCAAGTAATAAGCGACTTTCCTCAATTTCGTGGAGATGATGCTGAGAATTGACTAACAAATCTTCTTCACATGTTTCTTCATCTGCAACTCAGTCCAAATGCAAAATTGTATTACGTGCCGTTCACTTTGACAGGTGAAACTGCTTTCTGGTATCACACAGATGAAGAAAAATTTTCAAATTTTGGAACACTGGTTTAATAACACTCAAATCAAATATTGGACAGAATTCAAAGCACAAGACTTACACTTCTTCGTATGACGTCACGTTAGCATTCGAACGTCTCCAACGTTATCAGGAAACACCGAATCAAAATGTACAACAATATTATGCCGAAATAATTAAACTATGCAAAGAAGCTGATTCAGCCATGTCGGACAGAACAAAGATTCAGCATCTCTTTTCCAGCTTAAAACCAACGGTGATAATAACAACAAAAATCCATCATTTATCTCTCTCCTTATTAACAACAAGAAAATGTATTGTATGATTGACACTGGAGCTATACATACACTGACCACTGAAAAAGCTATTCGATCAACACACCACAGTAAATTTATTCGAACCACCCTTCAACAGCTATATCAAGCCGATGGATACACACCTTTACCACACCTAGGCCTAGACGAATTAACTATCCTGATAAGAAACATCGCAACGAAAATACTGGCATTCGTGGTCAAACGCCTTTGTACCGACTGTCTTCTCGGTAACGACTATTTAAAGAAATATAAAGTAAAGATCAATAATGGCACCGACACAGTATCTATTCGACTTAATAATATCGAAACATCTATCCCAATGGAAGAAACACCACCAGGTTTTCGTCTTCCTATTACTCTCGTTAATCATATCTATATTCCTCCTCATACATATACATCAGATAAGGTAACTACCGAAATTTCCTCCGCTTCGGTTCTATTTAAACGCTCGTATAACCTCCAAAATCAAATGTGCCTCACTGACTCAAACATGCGAATAGAAGATCACATAGCAACAATCCCTCTTTACAATTCTACTTCCTATCCGTCTTATCTCTCGAAAGGAGTCATTATCGGAATTATCAAACTTTCTCTAACAACCAATGATTTACCCCCTCCAAATAACATCTGATTCTGGCAAATCCATAGCGGAAATCAACATCGAGAATTTGATAACGCATATTAAGAAGGAAGACTTACATTCTAAACTAAAATCGATTCTTCTTCAATAACAAAACATTTTTGATAATTCGGTTACATCAGTAGCAACCACTACCATTCAACATGCGATCGATACCATTCCTCATGTCCCACCTTATTCTCGATCCCATCCATTCACTACTGAAAAACATGAAGCACTATACAATCTTACAAGGACTACTGGCATCAGGACAAATACAAAAATCTGACTCACCGTATGTAACACCGGTGCTTCTCACGAAGAAAAAAGACAAAACCTGGCGTCTCGTTATCGACTATAAAAAACTGAATGCTGTTACCATCAAAGATCAGAACTCTTTCCCGAATATGGAGAAAACCATCCAGAAACTTGGAGCTGGTTACTCGTTTTTTACAAAACTTGATTTGAAGCCGGGCTTTTGGCTGCGGTCCATTAGAGAAGAAGACCAACAGAAGACGGTATTCATAACACCTTTCGGATTGTTCGAGTTTAATGTCTTAGCACAAGGTCTCAAGAACGCGCCGCCGTCCTTTCGGTAAGTAATGCAGGCAGTTCTCGAACCGCGCCGAAATGGTTGGACATCCTAATTAGGCAATTAGGAGTAGTAATTTTAAAAACAGGAGAAAAGTTTTTTAGTGGTCAATTTTGTGCACAAATATTTGCTCTACCAAATAAGACGTCGCAGACTTCTCACAGTGGTTCGTCGATGAGATATAAATCTTTTTCTCTAAGATCGGACCGATTAACCGTCCGTTAATAACCGGTCCTGTGTTAGCGAAGAAGATTCATATTTCATCGACGAACCACTGTGAGAAGTCTGCGACGTCTTATTTGGTAGAGCAAATATTTGTGCACAAAATTGCCCACTAAAAAACTTTTCTCCTGTTTTTAAAATTACTACTCCCAAGAGCCCCGATAAAATAACCGGTGCACGTCATCAATATATTGATGACGACGACTCTTTCCCATCACATTATTCATTGATAGAATACTTTTTCCGTTCTGGTTGTTTACTAGTAAATTACTAGAGAGAAAGAAAGAGAAAAAGAAAAACATGCAAGATAATAGCCAACAAAATTTTCTTGTCACTCTGTTTATGCACAAGATATACTATAGACACTGGCACAAGTAGCGTGATTACGCGTCTCATCAAAAGTGGGCATGTGTATACAAGAACATCATGCATTATGTAATGGATTGAGTTATGTGCTTCCTATGCAGGACCTTGATCAAGTTTAAGTAGTTTCTAATATAGAATTGTTCTATGCAAAACTACTGGGTGTTTTCACAGCGTATTATCATTGGGATGACAAGCCGGCTAATGAGATTACGATACACAATTTATCTCTAGAGCAGTTACAGACTGCGGGAAAAATACGTTCGTTTATGGATAGCTTTTGCTGGCAGGCTAAAAGAGAATTGAAACCGTTGGTGTACAAGAATAAGCATTTGCATCAAGTTTTATGTAATCTTTCTAAAGATAAAACTATAGTAATTACTCGTCCAGATAAAGGCAGAGGAATTGTTATTTTGGATAGAGAGGATTATATTGCTAAGATGATGAATCTGCTCGATAATATATCTACCTTCATTAAAATTGATTCAGATCCTATTATTTCTAAAGAAAACCAGTTAGTTCGTATACTGTTACGTCTAAAAAATCGAGGCTTCATTTCAGAACAGGAATACCGACGATGTCGACCTACAGGATCTCGTCCAGCTAGACTCTACGGGTTACCAAAAATTTATAAAGACGATACTCCCTTAAGACCTATTTTGTCAGCAACAAACACATATAATTACGGACTGGCTAAACGTCTAGCAGACAGACCGTCGTTTTTAAATAATAACAAATTTATCTGTAAGGACTCTTTCCACTTTGTCAATGAGATTTCAAAACTAACACCAGATATGTTGGATTATAAAATGGTTTCATTTGATGTCGTTAACTTATTTACAAATGTTCCACTACAATACACTATCAATCTCATATTAGATAAATTATATCCTCTAAATAATAATTGTAAAATAAAATGTTCAAAAAAGTGTTCGAACATCAATGGTTGTCAAGATAGAAAGGACTTTGAGTTGCTGAAAAATCGTTTTTCACCTGCTACTGGATCCAGAAGGATAATTTATCGTTTTAACAAAATAACATTTCCAGGCATTTTTGACCTTGTGTATAGTGTGCATAGTCTTTTTAGGGTTCTCGACTTTACAAAATACGTTTTTCTCTCTCTTACAAACAATGTCTATTTCTCTCTTTCTCTCTCTCTTACTACAATAAAAAGAAAAAATGTATTTTACTCCCTATTTTATTTATTCAGTCATATTCGTTTTAACTTTACATTGTATGAATCGTCTCTATTGTCTTGATAATGACTTTTTAGTTATTTTCTGACCATACTTAGGTATTTGCTAGAGGGCATTGCGGACTATCTAATGGTATAATAATATTAAGAGTTGATTGAATTGGCTTTGTGGGGAGAATAAGCAAAAATGTATGTGCAAAAAATGTGACATAACTTTATCAAGTTTTAAAACTTTTCCATTTGACATAGAAAAACTGATGAATGAAAAGTAATACCTGTAGTGGCTAACAATTACTCTGTTCACCAAATCCAGATGTACTATTAGAAACGTTTCAATTTAATAAAAGTTTATTGAGTATTATCTAATACATCAACATTGATGCCATCATCTTTGCCTTTTTCGTCTGCTTCTTCATATTTATCCGCATTCTTTATATTATGTCTAAATCCTTCTAACAAAGGATCAACATTAATATGCATATCGCATTATGTATGAGCATGTGCAATCGTTTTTCTGCTTCCTTTCGTTTGCTGTCAGTACAAAACGAAAATCGCCATCACCATCTTGAGGGTGAGGGTGGATATGTCCATTTCTTTTATAACTGAGTGAATAAGAACAATTAAATAAAGCGCTATTGGCAAATGATAGCTGCTCTGTATGAGTGTATGACAGATCTGTAAAACTGTAATAAACACTTAACAGTGAAATAAAAAAATTCAAGATAAGACAAGAGACAGCTATACGTGCCAATAAATGATTATTTATATTTGTTAGTAACTGTCACTTTTCGAAATAGGATTAATTGTAGCTGGTGATAGTCTCTATATGACCATAACCACAGTACATAATAAATATTTTTTTTATTGCTTACAAAAAATGCGAAAAAGCAAAGCACACCAAATGTGAAAAAATCAAGTTTTCACCCTGAATTGACGCTCAAAGTACTATAATTTTTTTGCTCAAGAGATAAAAGATTGAGTTTTGGTGGATTATAATTTACATGCCCATATGAAAAAGAGTATGTATGGGATCTAGAAAGTAGCACTCTGCTGTTGAGAAAATCCATTGTGTTCATATTGGTAGCAAAATTTTCAAAAATATTAGGTCGTATTTCCAGCTTTTGATTATCAAAATATCAAAATTTGGTTTCAATGAAAAATAATGCAAAACATATCTAAGGGAGAGTACAAGTCAAAATTTTCTGAAACTATTTTTTAGTAAAATATAAGCTGTTCGATGTAGGTTTTTATGTTGATTCTGGAAACCTTATTTTTTTTTCATAAAAATCAAATTTTTTATGGTCAAACGTTGGAAATACGCCCTCATCTTTCTGACATTTTGCTACCAATATAGAAACAATGGATTTTTCTCTACAGCTGAGTGATACTTTCTAGACTCAATACATACTTATTTTCATATGGGCATGTTAATTATAATCCAGTAAAACTCAATCTTTTATCTCCTGAGAAAACAAACTAGATAGGTTTGCAAGGTGCATACCATCTCTTGTTACGGCTCTGCTCGTGTTCTGAGAATACGGAGTTCATTTTAGTCTAAAAAGATCTCAAATTGAATCAAGTAGCGTTGAAACTTTTACACGAAGTAAAGACACAATTTTGGTTTGGTCGTCAAAATCTCACTCATTTTTATTCATATTTTCTAAATCCTAATTGTTTTGATATTTCAGCCAAAATTGAGTTATAAAAATCTGGAATAGAGTTTTTCATGTACAACTCAAAGAGCTCTATCGAACAAGGCCTAAATTAAACAAAATTGCTCGATTATTGCACTAGCGGCACCGTATCCAAAAGCATGCTACCATCTGTCTTGTGGGATTTTTAATCAATTCGTCGTGTTCTCGTCCTTGTGCCTCATAATGAATCAGAGACTAGAATGTTTTGTCTTGTTTCATTCCTTTTCACTGTAATGGGGTAATATTCTTTCTGATTCACCTGAAACGTGATAAATCTTTTCGTTCTTTTTGACAATATTTACTCAAGCCAAATATCCAATATAAAGAGGTAACAAGCTCGCTGACAGCACACACACACACAAACCTCAACATGCTTCGAATCAAACGCGATCCACTCACATCTGTTGTTCTCGAACAACAACAACAACAACAAGAGTATGTACCTTTGAAGCGAGTGAACGTCGAAGCAACAATTCGTGCATTTGCTGCCGACGTAACTATTACACAAGTATTTCGCAATGATGAAACGACACCGATCGAAGCGGTCTATTGTTTTCCAATCGAAGAACAAGCGGCGATCTATACATTTGTAGCTCGGATTGATGATCGAGAAATCAGTGCTCAATTGAAAGAGAAGAAAGAAGCACAAAGGGATTACAACAATGCTTTGCAACAAGGCGACGGAGCCTATCTATTGGAACAAGACGAAAAGTCTCAAGACAATTTTATAATCAATGTCGGTGCTTTGCCACCATCGAAAGAATGCACAATTACCATTAGTTACATCACAGAATTAGATCTTGTTCAAGGATCTACCATTCGATTTGTCGTTCCTACAACAATTGCACCGCGTTACAATCCCGACAAAGGTAGCATTGCATTGCCACTCAACACTACTTCTAAATATGCTCAATCAACTCCGTATACAATTGATTTTCGCTGTTACATTGAAAAAACACTTGGATCGCGGCCAGAACAAATTACTCGAGTTAATTCATCATCGCATCCGATCGAAATCAATCTTGCGCAACAAGATGCTTATGTCGTAACATTCGCTCAGCAAAATACTCATTTAGATCGTGATATTCTGATTAATATTGAACTTTCCGATAAAAGAAATAGTACCATTATGGCTGTGGAACCCGGTGCTGTGATGGCTGCCTTCATTCCAACGGAAGACGAATGTCGTCAAGCATCGAAAAATGATTTAACCAACGAATTTATTTTTATCGTCGATTGTAGTGGATCAATGAAGGACGAAAACAAAATTGGATTAGCTCGACAAGCCATGTTACTCTTCCTCAAGAGTTTACCCGTCAATTGTCATTTCAATATCGTTAGATTTGGTTCTCAGTACAAGACTCTATTTAGTGAGATTACCGCAGTTTACAACGAAACCAATGCTCAACAAGCTGAAGCACTTATCCAACAGATACAAGCAGATCTCGGTGGCACTGAGTTGGTAAGTTTTATCTCTTTTACTTTAATCATTCTTTTTATAATTGTGTCTATTTATAGTTACGACCTCTGCAATGGATTGAAGAACATTCACCCAGTCAAGGTCGTGCTCGTCAAATATTTCTCCTTACCGACGGTGAAATTTCTAACGTGACAGAAGTGCTTGATCTCTGTCGTTCAATGGCCACGTCTACTCGTATATTTTCATTCGGCTTAGGACAATCGCCAAGTCGATCGCTAGTAAAAGATCTCGCTCGTGCGACCAATGGTCGATTTGTATTTATCCCACCTAATGCAAGCGTTGATATATACGTCGGAGAACAATTGCAAAAAGCTCTTCAGCCATGTATTACCAATGTTCATGTCAAATGGAATCTTGGAGTTCCAGTACAGAGTGCTCCGACTCAATCCCCTCCGGTCTATGTCAACGATCGTCTGATTGTCTACGCACTCATCGATGACAAGACAACTCCTTTTGATCACAATTCGTCTGTCGAACTACAAACCGAACTCGATCACCGTTCTCTAGGTGTAGCTAAAGTCGACCATATACCGAGTGTGAGCGATAGCGGAACAATTGCTCGTCTGGCAGCCAAAGCGCTCATTCTCCAATTGCAACATGCCAAACTACCGTCATCGAATACGAAAAGAACGAAAACCGGTTCCACACAAGCACGATTTCAAGAATTTCAAGAAACGACGGCAACGAATGAAGAGAAAATGAAAACATCATTGGAAGAAACGGCCAAACAACGTATTATTGCATTATCATTGAAATATAATATTTTGAGTCCTTATACAGCATTTGTTGGAATCGAGAAACGAATGAATGCAAGTAATATCGACCTGGTTCTTCGCGAAGTGCCCATTCAAATTTCTGGTGACGATCAACACCTGCAAATGTTCGGCCGCGGTGCTGGTAGTTCACGTGGACTCGGATTTGGTGGAGGCGCTCATAGACATCGTAAGATCATGGCTGGTAATTGTTACGAACTTAATTTCAATGGATGTCAGCCTCTGCCGAGATCTTCTATTGACTCAGCGAGTTTGATACTAGAAAATGCCTGTTCAGATGATGAGGACGACATCTTCGCCAACTTAACGTCCAAGAAAGAAAAGAGAAAGTCTTTGGAAAAAGAAACATGGCCATCGAATGATCAAGACATCGTTCGACATTTGATCAACAAACAAAAATTTGACGGTCTTTGGTCTCTTGACTCACAAGATGTTAAGAACTTGACTGGAAAAACACTTGCTGACTTTCTATCGGAAAATAGTCAAATCGATCATCATGTGCTTGTCTCAGCCATTATCATCGCTGTGCTTGAGACACGTTTTGCTGCATTAACAACGATGTGGTACGGCGTCGTCCAAAAGGCTCGCAAGTGTCTCACTGATCTACTAAGAATAGACTCGAAAAATCTAGATCAACTTCTTGAAAATATTCGTAAACAATTTTAAATAAAGTTTCAGTAGCAATGTGATTAATAACAATATCAGCTTTTGAAACTCGATCGAGTCTAGAATTTTGCGCCACTTCTATACTAGTTGAATTGCTAATATTTCTTGAAAAATATACTTTATCTTCGTAGTTTTTTATTTATTTATTTACACTCAAGACGTTTCGATCGCCATGTGTAATATTCTACAGTAAAACATAAAATTAATAAAATAAAAATATAAAATGTATATACAACAAAACAATTTTCTATTACATCGTAGTGTGCACAGTAGATGTTAAAACTGTAATGTAACAAATCTTTTTGTTTTCATATATTCATACTTATACTTTAACTTTATCTTTTTCTTGTCAATGGACTAAACTAGAACGACAAAAGGATAAAAAAATTTGGCTGCTTTATTTTATTTTAGTGACTCAGATTAAAATATCCGACGTAAATATATAATGTCGAAGATGACCTTTTCTTAAATAAAATAAAAGTATAACTTAAATATGCCAATTGATGAAGGATGTATTAATAGACTAAACATATATATGAAAAATCCCTCAGGTTCAACGAAAATCACTCCTTATAGTTATGGCTATTCTGTTTCCTAAATTTATATCTAACATTTAGGTTTCGTTGTGTGGTTTCTGTAGCCGAGTTGCTAATATCCTTAGTCCCATTTACTGGAAAAAACGGTTCTCCTGATCTTGGTTCAATCCACTGTTTAATAGTGGATTTCCATTGAGGACTAATTTTTTTACATTGATTATAACCTAAATCTGCTATGGCATACACTGTCTCTAGTGTTTTTCTTCTATTCTAGTTCTTTTCTTTATCAAAAATCATACTATTTTCAAAATCTGTGAAACATGCAGTACCATTGTCGTGATGCTGTACCAATTTCGAGCCCTTCACATCTCTTTGTTGCAGTTTTTTAAAATGTTTTTTTATCCTTCGTTTAAAACTGCATGTCTCACCAATATACATGTCAGCACACATACATTGTATACACTGTAATGTCGGGAATTATTTAGAAAATGCTCGGCGATTTTCAAAAAGTCCATATATAAATTCCCTAAGGATTTTCTAGATTCTAGAAAATCGAATTTACAAGAAACTTGGAAATTCGATCTCGATTTTCCAGAATTCAGGAAATTCGAAGTCGAATTTCTATAAATAATTCCCAAGATTCTTGAAATT